TAGCAATACAACTCTGCCTGGGGGGAACAAGGCTGGGGGACAGGAAGGTTCAGAAGAGGCTGGAAGGATGGGACAGCCCAGAGGAAACTGGGAGGATGGGACAGCCCAGAGGAAACTGGGAGGATGGGACAGCCCAGGGGAGACTGGGAGGGTGGGACAGCTCAGGGGAGGCAAGAAGAACAGGACAGCTCAAGGGAGACTGAGATAATGGGACAACCCAGGGGAGACTGAGATGGACAACCCAGGGGAGACTGAAGTGATGGGACAACCCAGATGATGGACAACCCAGGGGAAACTGAGATGATGGGACAACCCAGGAGAGACTGAGATAATGGACAACCCAGATGATGGGACAACCCAGGGGAGACTGAGCTAACGGGACAACCCAGGGGAGACTGGGAGGATGGGACAACCTAGGGGAGACTGGGAGGATGGGACAACCCAGGGGAGACTGGGAGGATGGGACAGCCCAGGGGAGACTGGGAGGATGGGACAGCCCAGGGGAGACTGGGAGGATGGGACAACCCAGGGGAGACTGGGAGGATGGGACAGCCCAGGGGAGACTGGGACGATGGGACAGCTCAGGGGATGCTAGAAGAACAGGACAGCTCGGGGGAGACTGAGATGGACAACCCAGGGGAGACTGAGATGGACAACCCAGGGGAGACTGAAATGGACAACCCAGGGGAGACCGAGATGATGGAACAACCAAGGGGAGACCGAGATGATGGGACAACCCAGATGATGAACAACCCAGGGAAAACTGAGATGATGGGACAACCCAGATGATGAACAACCCAGGGAAAACTGAGATGGTGGGACAACCCAGGGGAGACCGAGATGATGGGACAACCCAGATGATGAACAACCCAGGGAAAACTGAGATGATGGGACAACCCAGGCGAGACTGAGATGATGAGACAAGCCAATGGAAATTTGGAAGATGGGAAAGCCCAGGGGAGGCTAAACAAACAGGACAGTCCAGGGGAGACTGGGAGGATTGAACACAAGGGGGACTAGGAGGATAGAGCAACCCAGAAGGGACTGGGAGGATAGTACTGCCCAGAGAAGGCTAGGAAGACAGAACAGCCCAGAGGAGACTGGGAAGATAAAGTGGCCTATGGGAGGTTGGGAGGACAGGACAGCTCAGAGAAGGCTTGGAGGACAGAATGGCCCAGTGGAGGCGAGAGAACAAGATGGCTCAGGGGGGCTTGGAGGATGCAACATCCCAGGGGGAGGCTGGGAGGATGACATGGCCCAAGGGAGGCTGTGAGGACTGCACCCCTTAGGGGAGGCTGGGAGGATGGGATGTCCAGAAGAGGAAGGGACAGTCTGGGGGGCTGGGAGGATTTGGGCAGTCCAGGGGGAGCTGATAAAATAGATGGGGCAATAGAGACTGGAAGTACTACTATACAGCAAGGGGGAAGCTGCTTAAATATTTACATCAGGAGGACACAGAATGTTCGACTCGCAGCCAAAAGTGATATGTCTGCCAGTGGGGGTCAGCCTGATCTGGGTGGAATGTCCAAGCTGGTGAATTGTTTTGTCACTCTCTGATATGTGCCTTAGTCTATGTGGTGGATGGTGGCCTCAGTCTATGTGGTGGATGGTAAGCTGGCCATACACTGGTAGATGTTCTTACAAACAATCATACAAATAGCCTCATCTGTGCATCCAACAATTGGCAACAGAGGCCTGACGCTGGAAGTACTTCAGAATTGCTGTGAAGATGGAGGTTGGTTGTCGGTTGGGTGTCACCGGGGAATTTTTCTGCTTGTGTAATTGCCCAGAACTCTCCATGGATGGAATGAATGAAACGCTCTTTGTTTTCCTCTGAGATGACCCAGAGCATGTTCTCCTCCTCCCGCGGCATCCATCAGAGTTGTATAGTCAGGTCAGGTGTCCACCATGTTCAGGCGATGGAGAGGTGTCCTCACAGGGACAAGCTCCAACCTGCTGCTTCCTGTTCTCCGGTATGTGGGAAGAATGACACTTCTCTTATCCCAGGTACGGGACGCACACGGGAACTGATGGGTGAGATCATCAATGACCTCCAAGTCAAGAATTTCATTGAAGGCAAGGAATGCTAATGAGGCTCAATCACTGAGAGGATGGGCGGCCATGCTGGATGTTTGAAAGGACTTTTCTTTTGACATATGGGAATTTGTTGGAGTTCACCAGCTAGATAAAATAACTTTGTCACTCCCCCCGATGTCACTTTAAATCAGACCTTCTCCAGGAGTGCGTGTAAAAAATACATAAATATATGATAGTATTATCAATATAAAGAATATAATAAAAAATTAACTGGATGTGTATATATACTATATTGCCAAATGTATTGTCCCCGCCCCCCAAATCATGTGATTCAGGTGTTCCAATCCCCTCCATATCATGTGATTCAGGTGTTCCAGTCCGCTCCATATCATGTGATTCAGTTCTTCCAATCCCTTCCATATCATGTGATTCAGGTGTTCCAATCCCCTCCATATCATGTGATTCAGGGGTTCCAATCCCCTCCATTTCATGTGATCCAGGGGTTCCAATCCCCTCCATATCATGTGATTCAGGGGTTCCAATCCCCTCCATATCATGTGATTCAGGGGTTCCAGTCCCCTCCATATCATGTGATTCAGGGGTTCCAGTCCCCTCCATATCATGTGATTCAGGGGTTCCAGTCCCCTCCATATCATGTAATTCAGGGGTTCCTGTCACCTCCCAATCATGTGATTCAGGGGTTCCTGTCCCCTCCCAATCATGTGATTCAGGGGTTCCTGTCCCCTCCCAATCATGTGATTCAGGTGTTCCAATCCCCTCCCAATCATGTGATTAAGGTGTTCCAATCCCCTCCATATCATGTGATTCAGGTGTTCCAATCCCCTCCATGGACACAGGTGTATACAATCAAGCCCCTAGGCATGCAGACGGCTTCTACAAACATTGGTGAAAGAATGGGTCGCTCTCAGGAGCTCAGTGACTCCAAGCGTGGTCCCGTGATAGGTGGCCACCTGTGCAGTAAGTCCATCCGTGACATTTCCTGGCTACTAAATATTCCACGCTCAACTGTTAGTGGGATTATAACAAAGTGGAAGCAACTGGGAACAACAGCAACTCAGCCACCAAGTGGTAGGCCACGTCACATGACAGGGCGGGGTCAGCGCATGCTGAAGCGCACAGTGCGCAGAAGTCACCAACTGTCTGCAGAGTCAATAGCTAAAGACCTCCAAACTTGGTGTGGCCTTCAGATGAGCCCAACAACAGTGCGTAGAGAGCTTCATGGAATGGGTTTCCATGGCCGAGCAGCTGCATCCAAGCCTTCCATCACCAAGTGCAATGCAAAGCGTCGGATGCCGTGGTGTAAAGCACGCCGCCACTGGACTCTAGAGCAGTGGAGATGTGTTCTCTGGAGTGACCAATCACGCTTCTCTTTCTGGCAATCAGATGGACGTGTCTGGGTGTGGCGGTGGCCAGGAGAACGGTACTTTCCTAACTGCATTGTGCCAATTGTAAAGTTTGGTGGACGGGGGATTATGGTGTGGGGTTGTTTTTCAGGGGTTGGGCTTGGCCCCCTAGTTTCAGTGAAGGGAACTCTTAAAGTGACATTTTGTTCCATCATTCATTCACACTGGCAGTCTGCTTATCTGTAAAGCAGAGAAATCGCCTCCAGAATCCTTCCTTCTCCCTGATTAGAACCTGATATCCGGGCCGACAACGCTACCTATCTTTTATTCACTTGGCTCATCCCATAAGTGTTGTCGGCACCCGGAAGCTTTCATTCATTGGCTTTGACCCTGTCGGAATTTATCCTCCAGTACACAAGTTCTGTGCGCTCCAACAATGCTTAGTGCTGACAACCACATATAGCCCCCCTCCCCCCACTTGGCTCATCACATAAGCGTTGTCAGCACTCGGAAACTTCCATTCATTGCCTCCGGGTATGTCAAACTTTTTCTTCTAGTGTGTAAGTGCCCTGGGCTCCAACAAATCTGACAACCACATACAGCCCCCCCCCCCCCCCCCACCCCCCCCCCCCCCCCCCCCCCAACACACACACTTAGCTCATCCCATAAGCGTTGTCGGCAGTCAGAAGCATTTATTCGTTAGCTGTGAGCCTGTCGGAATTTTTCCTCCAGTACACATGTGTTCTCAGCTCCAAAAATGCTGAGTGCTGACAACCACATACAGCCCCCCCCCCCCCACACACACACACTTGGCTCATCCCATATGCGTTGTCAGCACTCAAACTTCCATTCATTCACTGGCTCCGCTGGCACATCAGACTTTTTCCTCCACTGTGCAAGTGCTCTGAGCTCCAACAATGCTGACAACCACATACAGCCCCCCCCCCCCCCACACACACACACTTGGCTCATCCCATAAGCGTTGTCGGCACTCAGAAGCATTCATTCATTGGCTCAGACCCTGTCGGAATTTTTCCTCCAGTACACAAGTGTTCTGAGCTCCAACAATGCTGAGTGCTGACAACCACATACAGCCCCCCCATCCCCCACACTTGGCTCATCCCATATGCGTTGTCGGCACTCAGAAGCAGCATTCATTCATTGGCTCCGGGCACATCGAGCGTCTTCTTCCAGTGTGCATGCGCTCCGAGCTCCAACATTGCCCTGTGCTAGCCAATGAAGGACCAGATCAGAGTATTGGGGGGTAGTTGGGGAGGGGAGGGGCTAGGACCTGAATTCAGATGAAGATTTCTAGCAGAAGAATCAAAACTAGAGACAAATCACGCCAGAGCTGCCCATACATTAGTCATTTTTGGGGGTCTTTTTTGGCCCCAATCCCCCCCCCATCCACCTCCAATTATAACAGATCACTGATGGAGAATCCAAGCCGTAGTCAGGGACTGGCGGAGTCCACCACTTGGCTACACCCATCTTTGCGTCCTCACCTAGAGAATCTCGCCTTGGGGGCGGCGTGTTCCTTTCTATGTCGTATTTCGTTGTTTTAGATCGATTTTTAGGCGAAGGTATTAACAGAATGTTGTTTTTCAGCAGGAAGTTCAGTCTCCCGGGCCGTACACACAGGGAACCATCCGAAGATACATCGTCCAGAACAACGAGCAGGTAATCTAGAAATATATCGATTCCGATATTCCTGGTATTGTGATCGACAGATTCCCGGAACGACATAAAAATCGTCTTCTGTCTTCATCGTTCCGTCATCTCATCCGAAACTCCGCTCCGAGGACGGGCGGGATCCGATCTCCGGTCTTCTCCTGTGTATTGATGATAAATACCAGGAAGATAGACAATGTATCAATAGAAAAGATAAAGCCCAATGTATTGATTCATCCTGTGTATTGATCCATCGGGTCTTATCCTCTGTATTGATCCATCGGATCCCGTCCTGTGTATTGATCCATTGTTTCCCATCCTCTGTATTGATACATTGGGTCCCGTCCTGTGTATTGATCCATTGGTTCCCGTCCTGTGTATTGATCCATTGGCTCCTGTCCTGTGTATTGATACATTGGCTCCCATCCTGTGTATTGATACATTGGCTCCCATCCTGTGTATTGATCCATTGGCTCCCGTCCTGTATATTGATCCATTGGCTCCCGTCCTGTATATTGATCCATTGGCTCCCGTCCTGTGTATTGATCCATTGGCTCCCATCCTGTGTATTGATCCATTGGCTCCCATCCTGTGTATTGATACATTGGGTCCCGTCCTGTGTATTGATACATTGGGTCCCGACCTGTGTATTGATACATCATATCTCATCCTGTGTATTGATACATCATATCTCATCCCGTGTATTGATCCATTGGCTCCCATCCTGTGTATTGATCCATTGGCTCCCGTCCTGTGTATTGATACATTGGCTCCCGTCCTGTGTATTGATACATTGGCTCCCGTCCTGTGTATTGATCCATTGGCTCTGTATTCATACATCATATCTCATCCTGTGTATTGATACATTGGTTCCAGTCCTGTGTATTGATACATTGGCTCCCGTCCTGTGTATTGATACATTGGGTCCCGCCCTGTGTATTGATCTATTGGCTCTGTATTCATACATCATATCTCATTCTGTGTATTAAAAGAGGAAAAATGTGAACCAAAAAAAAGTGTGTGTAACAAAATAAATACATAAAAAAAAAATTGATTTGGGTTTGATCTCGGTCAGTGTCAGAGATAGGACCGAATATCCGGGTCGGTATGTTTTAAGCAGGATTAAAAAGCAGAATGTGCTCTATTGCCTCTGGGCCGTACAACGGGTGCAAACCATGAACAACATCCACATACGTGGGATTTCTGCAATCATCAGGAGAAGGAGAATTTCTTTAGTAGGTTCTAGTAGAAGCAGAACATTTACAGCTGCAGTTTTCAAAAATGATACTTTTTAACTATTTTCTCTTTTTATTATTAAAAATCAGGAGATATCTATTGCTACTGTATTTACCACCAAATAAAAGCCCTGAAATAAAACCGTGATATAATCCACCTGGATACACGAGGTAGTCGTGCTGATATGTACGGTCTTATGGTGGTTGTACAGAAGTCGGTAGCCTGCCCATACATGGATGGAAATTCGTCCGATCTCTGCTGAACCGTCCAAATTTCGATCTACGTATGGCCGGCTTTAGTATTACATGGCTGTGACGGGAGTGACTTTTGGGGGTGGGGGGACCCCTGTCTCAGCTCCCCATATCCCTATTATGTGTAAGTCACCCTGTGCCTGTTAGGGGTAATGGGTGGAATGTTCTAATATTGGGGTGGGGGGGTGTTCATTGTTCACTGCAATGTGGCTGCATCCCATTGTTCTATTGAGTGTCTTGCTTGGGAGCAAACTATTATGGGATATATGTGTTTGTACTGGCTTGGTGGGGGTGTGTTTCCGGCAGCCCTTCCCGCTGATGGGACGGCCTGCTGATGTGTTTCCTGTTCCTGGTTGTATTTCCCCTGTTTTAATACAAGTCTGGGGCTGTCTCGTCTTGTATGGTCAGCGGTGGGGTCCGTGGATCTGTGTTCGGACAGGGAAGCGGGAGTCTAACGGAAATACCCCAGTGCAGTCGGGGTCCGGTTCCGTTACAATGGCAAAGTTACAAACCTTCATTCAGGCATTCGGATTAAAATCGACTTGCTTACAACCAGCCTGTCGGGTTTCTCCTGAACGATCGGTGCCGCAGGTTATAGCCCGAAGCACCGGTCAGTGTTTTCTGGTGGTGGGGAAGCCTCCCTGCTGTCAGAATACAATAACTCAGTGGAAGGATTCCCCCCCTCATCCACACATTTGAATCGGGTAATTTTTTATTCACTCAACCAACTGGGTCTGTACACCCGCTGTGCCCATTATGAGGGGTTCCCACCATCCCTGTGCCGAGTTCCCGAGTCTGTACGCCCGCTGTGGCCATTATGAGGGGTTCCCACCATCCCTGTGCCGAGTTCCCGAGTCTGTACGCCCGCTGTGGCCATTATGAGGGGTTCCCACCATCCCCGTGCTGAGTTCCCGGGTCTGTACGCCCGCTGTGGCCATTATGAGGGGTTCCCACCATCCCTGTGCCGAGTTCCCGGGTCTGTACGCCTGCTGTGCCCATTATGAGGGGTTACCACATTCCCTGTGCCGAGTTCCCGGGTCTGTACACCAGCTGTGCCCATTATGAGGGGTTCCCACCATCCCTGCTGGATTTTATATTTATTTTATGTTTGGAGGATGTACCAGGGGGACGGGATCAGAGGTGGGAATTGTGGCTTTCAGATCTGGCTGTTGGGGGATACAAGAAAATAAAAACTGTCTGAGCTCACGGACTCGGGATGGCTTTTTGTTTCAGCAATCTATATGAATGTATTATGTCTCAGCAGGAAGTTCAGTCTCCCGGGCCGTACACACAGGAGACCGTCCGGAGATACATCGTCCAGAACAATGAACAGGTAACGGGTTCCAGAATCTGCAAACAGAAACCGAGAAAACATTCCAGAGCCAGATACTCGGATGGAGACGTCTTCTATGGAATCTCCTCATTTCCAGATCTCATCCTGTGTATTGATCCATCGGGTCCCGTCCTTTGTATTGACCCATTGGCTCCCATCCTGTGTATTGATCCATTGGCTCCCGTCCTGTGTATTGATCCATTGGCTCCAGTCCTGTGTATTGATCCATTGGCTCCAGTCCTTTGTATTGATCCATTAGCTCCCGTCCTGTGTATTGATCCATTGGCTCCCGTCCTGTGTATTGACACATTGGGTCCCGTCCTGTGTATTGATCCATTGGGTCCCGTCCTTTGTATTGACCCATTGGCTCCCATCCTGTGTATTGATCCATTGGCTCCCGTCCTGTGTATTGATCCATTGGCTCTCCAGTCCTGTGTATTGATCCATTGGCTCCAGTCCTGTGTATTGATCCATTGGCTCCAGTCCTTTGTATTGATCCATTAGCTCCCGTCCTGTGTATTGATCCATTGGCTCCCGTCCTGTGTATTGACACATTGGGTCCCGTCCTGTGTATTGATCCATTGGGTCCTGTCCTTTGTATTGACCCATTGGCTCCCATCCTGTGTATTGATCCATTGGCTCCCGTCCTGTGTATTGATCCATTGGCTCCAGTCCTGTGTATTGATCCATTGGCTCCAGTCCTTTGTATTGATCCATTAGCTCCCGTCCTGTGTATTGATCCATTGGCTCCCGTCCTGTGTATTGATCCATTGGCTCCAGTCCTTTGTATTGATCCATTAGCTCCCGTCCTGTGTATTGATCCATTGGCTCTCCCGTCCTGTGTATTGACACATTGGGTCCCGTCCTGTGTATTGATCCATTGGGTCCCGTCCTTTGTATTGACCCATTGGCTCCCATCCTGTGTATTGATCCATTGGCTCCCGTCCTGTGTATTGATCCATTGGCTCCAGTCCTGTGTATTGATCCATTGGCTCCAGTCCTTTGTATTGATCCATTAGCTCCCGTCCTGTGTATTGATCCATTGGCTCCCATCCTGTGTATTGACACATTGGGTCCCGTCCTGTGTATTGATCCATTGGGTCCCGTCCTTTGTATTGACCCATTGGCTCCCATCCTGTGTATTGATCCATTGGCTCCCGTCCTGTGTATTGATCCATTGGCTCCAGTCCTGTGTATTGATCCATTGGCTCCAGTCCTTTGTATTGATCCATTAGCTCCCGTCCTGTGTATTGATCCATTGGCTCCCGTCCTGTGTATTGATCCATTGGCTCCCGTCCTGTGTATTGGTCCATTGGCTCCCGTCCTGTGTATTGGTCCATTGGCTCCCGTCCTGTGTATTGATCCATTGGCTCCAGTCCTGTGTATTGATCCATTGGCTCCAGTCCTTTGTATTGATCCATTGGCTCCCGTCCTGTGTATTGATCCATTGGCTCCCGTCCTCTGTATTGGTCCATTGGCTCCCGTCCTGTGTATTGATCCATCAGGTCCTGTCCTGTGTATTGATCCATTGGGTCCCATCCTGTGTATTGATACATTGGTTCCCGTCCTGTGTATTGATACATTGGCTCCCGTCCTGTGTATTGATCCATTGTCTCCCGTCCTGTGTATTGATACATTGGCTCTCCTCCTATGTATTAAAAGAGAAAAAATGTGAAACAAGAAAAAGTTTGTGTAACAAAATTTATACATAAAATCTGTGGCTTTCAGATCTGGCTGCTGGGGGATACAAGAAATTAAAAACTGTCTGAGCTCACAGACTCCACCTATAATAAATATATCCCTTTTCTGTGGCGGGCTCTTTGTATGGTTTATATTGTTTTTTTACAGCAATCTATATGAATGTATTATTTTTCAGCAGGAAGTTCAGTCTCCCGGGGCCGTACACACAGGAGACCGTCCGGAGATACATCGTCCAGAACAACGAGCAGGTAACGGGTTCCAGAATCTACAAATAGAATCGAGAGAACATTCCAGAACCAGATACTCAGATGGAGACGTCTTCTATGGAATCTCCTCATTTCCAGATCTCATCCTGTGTATTGATCCATTGGCTCCCGTCCTGTGTATTGATACATTGGGTCCCGTCCTGTGTATTGATCCATTGGGTCCTGCCCTGTGTATTGATCCATTGGCTCCCGTCCTGTGTATTGATCCATTGGCTCCCGTCCTGTGTATTGATCCATTGGCTCCCGTCCTGTGTATTGATCCATTGGCTCCCGTCCTGTGTATTGATCCATCGGGTCCCGTCCTGTGTATTGATCCATTGGGTCCCGTCCTGTGTATTGATCCATCGGGTCCCGTCCTGTGTATTGATCCATTGGGTCCCGTCCTGTGTATTGATCCATCGGGTCCTGTCCTGTGTATTGATCCATCGGGTCCTGTCCTGTGTATTGATCCATTGGGTCCTGTCCTGTGTATTGATCCATTGGGTCCCGTCCTGTGTATTAATCCATTGGCTCCCGTCCTGTGTGTATTGATCCATTGGCCCTTGTCCTGCGTATTGATCCATCGGGTCCCAGCCTGTGTATTGATCCATTGGGTCCTGTCCTGTGTATTGATCCATTGGGTCCCGTCCTGTGTATTGATCCATTGGGTCCCGTCCTGTGTATTGATACATTGGCTCCCATCCTGTCTATTGATCCATTGGCTCCCGTCCTGTGTATTGATCCATTGGCTCCCGTCCTGTGTATTGATCCATTGGCTCCCGTCCTGTGTATTGATCCATTGGCTCCCGTCCTGTGTATTGATCCATTGGCTCCCGTCCTGTGTATTGATCCATTGGCTCCCGTCCTGCGTATTGATCCATTGGCTCCCGTCCTGTGTATTGATCCATTGGCTCCCGTCCTGTGTATTGATCCAGTGGCTACAGGCTACAGGAGAAGATCCGCTACAACTGTACAAGAATGAAAGGGAACGTCGGGAGAGGATCTTATTTAATGCAATGCTTCTATTCTGCAGGAAGTTCAGTCTCCCGGGCCGTACACACAGGGAACCATCCGAAGATACATCGTCCAGAATCCGGAGCAGGTACGGTGCAGATACAATGCATTGTGTTGAGGAGTGAAAAATATTCCAGATTCAGCTACTTAGTGAGAACCTGTCACCAGAACAGTCATTTTCTCAAGATTCTTCCTCTATGATTGTATGTGCATGTAGTTATAATATACATATGATGTAAAATCCCCCGAGATTGCTGGGTGCCGCCATCTTGGATGTGATGTCAACAGCTCCAGCAGACTCAGAGTTGTCACTCAAATGACCTCTTATGGATAATATGGACTATGGAAAACTTTGTAGAAAAGTTGGGGGGAGGGGCGGAAAGGCTATGAAAGGAGGTGACAGCAAGGGTGGGGGAGCTGGGCCAGCACAGACAGTAATTAGACTCTCCTAGAAACGGACCTAGGAGGGAGTGGGCGGTGCTAGGCAACTGACTCTTTCAGGAGAAGTCAAAATTTCCAGCAAGTTCTGAAGCACAGTGCAAGTGATCTATAAATGATTTATCGAGAAAAAAAGCAAGTACGCATTTCATATTTGATGTCTCTTTACCTTTTACCTGGCAATTTTCTGAACTGGTGACAGGGACTCTTTGGGCGCATCGTATTTTAGGGCAGCCCATTCATTTCAGCGCGTGAAAGTGCGCACATTGGCTGAGATGCCACTGAAAAGCGTTTTTTTTTTTTTTTTTATGCGGTACGGGAAATGCGAGATTTTGACCGCATTCCCGCACCGCACCCGGTGTGAACGAGCCCTTTAAGTCCGGAACTTGTTTTCATGTTGCAGGAGATGCAGAGCGGGACGATCAGACGCTACATCGTCCAAAATCCCGAACAGGTAGGATGGTGGGAACTGGGGGGGGAGGGGACACCAAGGGGCAGATCTATAAAGAGGTGAATGTGAGATTCACCAAACATTCTCTGACGGTGGATCAGTCTGTCATGTGTAACACATGGACCTGGGAGATTCACCTGCAGAGAATGTTCAGTGAATGTCAGGTAAAAAAAAAAAAAAAAATTGATTAATGATTAACTCCTTTATAACAAAGTGTAAGCTCTTCTGGCGCTGATGCCGTATCTGTAGAATGCTGGTATAATAATCACCCCTCTGCAGGGGCAGACTGACAACTCATGGGGCCCTGGGAAATAGGGGATCATGGGGCCCTGTGTCCTTTCCCAAACTCAAAGCACACCCAAAAAAGCCTATAAAAAGGTACCAAGGGCATTTCATGGGGCCCCCCACTGACCCCGGGCCCTCGGGCAGTGCCCAAATGGTCAGTCCGCCCCACTGGGAAGCCTTAATAACCAGAACAGCGACTGGGTGACATGAGAAGTGACTCTGTTGAGATCCCCAAAAGGTGCTCATCCAATCTAGAACCCCCCCCCCCCCCCCCACCACCACCCAGAGAGAACTGGAAACAATGTAACATAAAATGCCACACAGGGCACAGAATATTACAGCTCACTGGATGTCTGGCAGGATCAACGGGCAATTAGTGTGCAAATAAATAACACTTTCTAAAAAAGGGTGCAAAGATCACCTCCTAATGGGCACAGCGGGTGTACAGACCTGGGAACTCAGCACAGGGATGGTGGGAACCCCTCATAATGGGCACAGCGGGGGTACAGACCTGGGAACTCAGCACAGGGATGGTGGGAACCCCTCATAATGGACACAGCGGGGGTACAGACCTGGGAACTCAGCACAGGGATGGTGGGAACCCCTCATAATGGGCACAGCGGGGGTACAGACCTGGGAACTCAGCACAGGGATGGTGGGAACCCCTCATAATGAGCACAGCGGGGGTACAGACCTGGGAACTCAGCACAGGGATGGCAGGAACCCCTCATAATGGCACACAGCGGGGGTACAGACCTGGGAACTCAGCACAGGGATGGCGGGAACCCCTCTTAATGGGCACAGCGGGCGTACAGACCCCGGGAACTCAGCACAGGGATGGCGGGAACCCCTCATAATGGGCACAGCGGGGGCACAGACCCGGGAACTCAGCACAGGGATGGCGGGAACCCCTCATAATGGGCACAGCGGGGTACAGACCCGGGAACTCAGCACAGGGATGGCGGGAACCCCTCATAATGGGCACAGCGGGGGACCCACAGACCCGGGAACTCAGCACAGGGATGGCGGGAACCCCTCTTAATGGGCACAGCAGGCGTACAGACCCGGGAACTCAGCACAGGGATGGGCGGGAACCCCTCTTAATGGGCACAGCGGGCGTACAGACCCAGAAACTCAGCACAGGGATGGTGGGAACCCCTCCTAATGGGCACAGCGGGGTGTACCGACCCCACAACTCAGCACTGGGATCGTGGGAACCCCTCATAATGGGCACAGCGGGGGTACGGACCTGGGAACTTCAGCACACCTGGGGACAGGGATGGTGGGAACCCCTCATAATGGGCACAGTGGATGTACAGACCCGGGAACTCAGCACAGGGATGGTGGGAACCCCTCATAATGGGCACAGTGGGTGTACAGACCCGGAACTCAGCACAGGGATGGTGGGAACCCTTCATGATGGGCACAGCGGGTGTACAGACCCAGGAACTTCAGCACAGGGATGGTGGGAACCCCTCATAATGGGCACGGCGGGTGTAAAGACCCGGGAACTCAGCACGGGGATGGTGGGAACCCCTCATAATGGGCACAGCGGGTGTACAGACCCGGGAACTCAGCACAGGGATGGTGGGAACCCTTCATGATGGGCACAGCGGGTGTACAGACCCGGGAACTTCAGCACTGGGATGGTGGGAACCCCTCATAATGGGCACAGCGGGTGTACAGACCCCACAACTCAGCACAGGGATGGTGGAAACCCCTCATAATAGGCACAGCGGGTGTACGGAACCTTTTTTTTTTAAAATATTAATTACGCAGAAAATCTTTGCATGCAGTGAGGAGTATTCCGGAAGCTTGGAGACTCCCACCACTGTGGTATGAACTGCCAAGGTTAGCCGTGTCCTCCGCAGGAACAATCAGACACAAGAACCCTCTTAGCAGGATTCTGGGATGAGGAGTGTCAGGAATGATCACACCCAACCTCCCCCTCTGACACCCCACATCCACCTCTGACACCCCCGCTGTGCAGGAATCCCGGCAATGTTCCATCAGTGAAGATCCTTCCCTTCCTCACAGATTCATTTAATTGCCGTCTTTATCCCAACTCCGAGTTTTATTAGCGTTGCCAAAAAATATGGGAGAGGTTCAAGGACATGAGATGCATCTAATCCGGGAGCTGGAGGAGGCAGGTGTGTCTGCATCAAAGGATTATTGTATCTTCTGCACCACAGAGCTGACACTCTAATGTCCCCTCCCCCACAGTCACATCAGTCTCTGTACCAGAGGAGCTTACACTCTAATGTCCCCTCCCCCACAGTCACATCAGTCTCTGTACCAGAGGAGCTTACACTCTAATGTCCCCTCCCCCCACAGTCCCATCAGTCTCTGTACCAGAGGAGCTTACACTCTAATGTCCCCTCCCCCACAGTCACACACTATTATTATACATGTATATAGCTCTGACATATACCGCAGCGCTGTACAGAGAATTTTCCGTTTCTTCTCACTGAACACAGATTTGTAGAGATGGATACATTGTTACAGATTCCTGATAATTATTGATGTATATTTCCTCAGGATGTTCAGACGGAGACGGTTCGGAGGTACATTGTGCAGAATCCTGACCAGGTGCGTTGAACGCGGCTCCGCCTGTCACATGACATATAAGCGTGCTCCGTAATATACAGGTACAAGGTCTGTTACCCAGAAAACCTTTTACCAACAAAGCCTAAAATCCGGAGAAAGAAAACCGGGAATGACATACAATGCTTAGATGTGATCCTACAGTCACTAGGAGGAGCACTGCTAATATGTGTCATCAGACTGTGCTCCCTCTCCCCTCCCACAATGTGTGAGCATCATGTCCCGGCATAATCCCCCTTCTAGCACCAATTCCCTCATCTTCAATCCCCCTTGTAGCACCAACACCCACCCCTTCATTCCCCCCTCATGGTACAATCCCCCCCCCCCAAATCCCCCCTTCTAGCACCAATTCCCTCATCTTCAATCCCCCTTCTAGCACAACCCCCTCCCCCATTCCCCCCTCATGGTACAATCCCCCCCCAAATCCCCCCTTCTAGCCCCAATTCCCTCCCCTTCAAACCCCCCCAGCACAAACACACCCCCCTCCATTTCCCCCTCATGGTACAATCCCCCCTCTTAGCACCAATTTCCTCCCCCTCAAAAACCCCCTCCTAGCACAAACACCCCCCCACATTCCCCCCTCATGGTCCAATCCCCCCTCTTAGCACCAATTCATTCCCCCTCATGGTACAATCCCGCCCTGCTAACACCAGTTCCCTCCCCCTCAATCCCCCTCCTAGTACAAACACCCCCCCCCCTTCCAATCCCCCCTCATGGTACAATCCCCCCCCTCCTAGCACCAATTTCCTCCCCCTCCTAGCACAACCCCCCCTCCCCACCCTCATGATATAATCCCTCTATCCCCCCTCCCCCCCTCCAAATTCTACTCATAGCACACTCTTCTGATCTCCAGAGGGTGGTAGGGCCATTTCAACTTAAATCTGTACCCCCTCCCACCCAGCTCAAATCTTCTCTCTCCCCCCTCCAATTCCCTCCTTCAAGCACAGACCTTTACCCCCCCAAAAAAAATCACCCCTCCTATTACCAATTCCCTACCCCCAATCCTCCTCATGGCACAACCCTCCCCCCTCTAAATCCACCCTTTTAGCTCAAATTTTACCCCATCACCCCTCATAGCACAAATTACCCTCCCAGCACAAATACTCTCCCCACCCCAAGGTCCCCCGTCTAGCACAAATTCTCTTCCCTACCCAAACCCTAAATCCCCCCCCCCCCCTCCCCTCCATATCCTCCCCCCCAGTACAATCTTCTGATCTCCAGCTGGGTGACTGCAGTGACGTCATTGTGCTGAAAATGAGTGACTTCTGAACAATGCAGCATAATGACCACAGGTGTCACTATACAGCGGGGAACATAATGATTTCATCTCCTGCAGATTTTGTACATTTTCACATTTACACAGAAATGAGGGGTCTATCGTTTTTATCATAAAGGAATTTTAAATGGTAGAGATAAAATATCAACCAAAAATCCAAAAAAAAACACAATACAAATGTTATAAATGGAGTTTCAGGTCAGTGAGTAAAATAAGTATTTGATCCCCAAGCAACACATGACTTAGTACTTGGTGGAGGAACCCTTGTTGGCGAGCACAGAGGTGATACGTTCCTTGTAGTTGGTGGAGGAACCCTTGTTGGTGAGCACAGAGGTGAGACGTTTCTTGTAGTTGGTGGAGGAACCCTTGTTGGCGAGCACAGAGGTGAGACGTTTCTTGTAGTTGGTGGAGGAACCCTTGTTGGCGAGCACAGAGGTGAATCGTTCCTTGTAGTTGGTGGAGGAACCCTTGTTGGCGAGCACAGAGGTGAATCGTTCCTTGTAGTTGGTGGAGGAACCCTTGTTGGTGAGCACAGAGGTGATACGTTCCTTGTAGTTGGTGGAGGAACCCTTGTTGGTGAGCACAGAGGTGAGACGTTTCTTTTAGTTGGTGGAGGAACCCTTGTTGGTGAGCACAGAGGTGAGACGTTCATTGTAGTTGGTGGAGGAACCCTTGTTGGCGAGCACAGAGGTGAGACGTTTCTTGTAGTTGGTGGAGGAACCCTTGTTGGCGAGCACAGAGTTGAGACGTTGATTGTAGTTGGTGGAGGAACCCTTGTTGGGGAGCACAGAGGTGAGGCGTTCCTTGTAGTTGGTGGAGGAACCCTTGTTGGCGAGCACAGAGGTGAGACGTTCCTTGTAGTTGGTGGAGGAACCCTTGTTGGCGAGCACAGAGGTGAGACGTTCCTTGTAGTTGGTGAAGGAACCCTTTTTGGCGAGCACAGAGGTGAGACGTTCCTTGTAGTTGGTGGAGGAACCCCTGTTGGCGAGCACAGAGGTGAGACGTTCCTTGTAGTTGGTGGAGGAACCCTTGTTGGCGAGCACAGAGGTGAGACATTTCTTGTAGTTGGTGGAGGAAGCCTTGTTGGCGAGCACAGAGGTGAGACGTTTCCTTTAGTTGGTGGAAGAACCCTTGTTGGCGAGCACAGAGGTGAGACGTTTCTTGTAGTTGGTGGAGGGACCCTTGTTGGCGAGCACAGAGGTGAGACGTTTCTTGTAGTTGGTGGAGGAAGCCTTGTTGGCGAGCACAGAGGTGAGACGTTCCTTGTAGTTGGTGGAGGAACCCTTGTTGGCGAGCACAGAGGTTAGAAGTTCCTTGTAGTTGGTGGAGGAACCCTTGTTGGCAAGCACAGAGGTGAGAATTTCCTTGTAGTTGGTGGAGGAACCCTTGTTGGCGAGCACAGAGGTGAAACATTCCTTGTAGTTGGTGGAGGAACCCTTGTTGGCGAGCACAGAGGTGAGGCGTTCCTTGTAGTTGGTGGAAGAACCCTTGTTGGCGAGCACAGAGTTGAGACGTTCCTTGTAGTTGGTGGAGGAACCCTTGTTGGCGAGCACAGAGGTGAGACGTTTCTTGTAGTTGGTGGAGGAACCCTTGTTGGCGATCACAGAGGTGAGACGTTTCTTGTAGTTGGTGGAGGAACCCTTGTTGGCGAGCACAGAGGTGAGGCGTTCCTTGTAGTTGGTGGAGGAAGCCTTGTTGGCGAGCACAGAGGTGAGACGTTCCTTGTAGTTGGTGGAGGTACCCTTGTTGGCGAGCACAGAGGTGAGATGTTTCCTTTAGTTGGTGGAGGAACCCTTGTTGGCGAGCACAGAGGTGAGACGTTTCTTGTAGTTGGTGGAGGAACCCTTGTTGGCGAGCACAGAGTTGAGACGTTGATTGTAGTTAGTGGAGGAACCCTTGTTGGCGAGCACAGAGGTGAGACGTTTCTTGTAGTTGGTGGAGGAACCCTTGTTGGCGAGCACAGAGGTGAAACGTTCCTTGTAGTTGGTGGAGGAACCCTTGTTGGCGAGCACAGAGGTGAGACGTTCCTTGTAGTTGGTGGAGGAACCCTTGTTGGCGAGCACAGAGGTGAGACGTTCCTTGTAGTTGGTGGAGGAACCCTTGTTGGCGAGCACAGAGGTGAGGCGTTCCTTGTAGTTGGTGGAAGAACCCTTGTTGGCGAGCACAGAGGTAAGACGTTTCTTGTAGTTGGTGGAGGAACCCTTGTTGGCGAGCACAGAGGTGAGACGTTCCTTGTAGTTGGTGTAGAAAGCCTTGTTGGCAAGCACAGAGGTGAGACGTTTCTTGTAGTTGGTGGAGGAACCCTTGTTGGCGAGCACAGAGGTGAGACGTTTCCTGTAGTTGGTGGAGGAACCCTTGTTGGCGAGCCCAGAGGTGAGACGTTCCTTGTAGTTGGTGGAGGAACCCTTGTTGGTGAGCACAGAGGTGAGACGTTTTCTTGTAGTTGGTGGAGGAACCCTTGTTGGCGAGCAGAGGTGAGACGTTCCTTGTAGTTGGTGGAGGAACCCTTGTTGGCGAGCACAGAGGTGAGACGTTCCTTGTAGTTGGTGGAGGAACCCTTGTTGGCGAGCACAGAGGTGAGACGTTTCTTGTAGTTGGTGGAGGAACCCTTGTTGGCGAGCACAGAGGTGAGACGTTCCTTGTAGTTGGTGCAGGAACCCTTGTTGGCGAGCACAGAGGTGAGACGTTCCTTGTAGTTGGTGGAGGAACCCCTGTTGGCGAGCACAGAGGTGAGACGTTCCTTGTAGTTGGTGGAGGAAACCTTGTTGGCGAGCACAGAGGTGAGACGTTTCTTGTAGTTGGTGGAGGAACCCTTGTTGGCGAGCACAGAGGTGAGACGTTGCTTGTAGTTGGTGGAGGAACCCTTGTTGGCGAGCACAGAGGTGAAACGTTTCTTGTAGTTGGTGGAGGAACCCTTGTTGGCGAGCACAGAGGTGAGACGTTCCTTGTAGTTGGTGGAGGAACCCTTGTTGGCGAGCACAGAGGTTAGAAGTTCCTTGTAGTTGGTGGAGGAACCCTTGTTGGCAAGCACAGAGGTGAGTATTTCCTTGTAGTTGGTGGAGGAACCCTTGTTGGCGAGCACAGAGGTGAAACATTCCTTGTAGTTGGTGGAGGAACCCTTGTTGGCGAGCACAGAGGTGAGGCGTTCCTTGTAGTTGGTGGAAGAACCCTTGTTGGCGAGCACAGAGTTGAGACGTTCCTTGTAGTTGGTGGAGGAACCCTTGTTGGCGAGCACAGAGGTGAGACGTTTCTTGTAGTTGGTGGAGAAACCCTTGTTGGCGATCACAGAGGTGAGACGTTTCTTGTAGTTGGTGGAGGAACCCTTGTTGGCGAGCACAGAGGTGAGGCGTTCCTTGTAGTTGGTGGAGGAAGCCTTGTTGGCGAGCACAGAGGTGAGACGTTTCTTGTAGTTGGTGGAGGAACCCTTGCTGGCGAGCACAGAGGTGAGATGTTTCCTTTAGTTGGTGGAGGAACCCTTGCTGGCGAGCACAGAGGTGAGATGTTTCCTTTAGTTGGTGGAGGAACCCTTGTTGGCGAGCACAGAGGTGAGACGTTTCTTGTAGTTGGTGGAGGAAACCCTTGTTGGCGAGCACAGAGTTGAGACGTTGATTGTAGTTGGTGGAGGAACCCTTGTTGGCGAGCACAGAGGTGAGACGTTCCTTGTAGTTGGTGGAGGAACCCTTGTTGGCGAGCACAGAGGTGAGACGTTTCTTGTAGTTGGTGGAGGAACCCTTGTTGGCGAGCACAGAGGTGAGACGTTCCTTGTAGTTGGTGGAGGAACCCTTGTTGGCGAGCACAGAGGTGAGACGTTTCTTGTAGTTGGTGGAGGAACCCTTGTTGGCGAGCACAGAGGTGAGACGTTTCTTGTAGTTGGTGGAGGAACCCTTGTTGGCGAGCACAGAGGTGAGACGTTTCTTGTAGTTGGTGGAGGAACCCTTGTTGGCGAGCACAGAGGTGAGACGTTTCTTGTAGTTGGTGGAGGAACCCTTGTTGGCGAGCACAGAGGTGAGACGTTCCTTGTAGTTGGTGGAGGAACCCTTGTTGGCGAGCACAGAGGTGAGACGTTCATTGTAGTTGGTGGAGGAACCCTTGTTGGCGAGCACAGAGGTGAGACGTTCCTTGTAGTTGGTGGAGGAACCCTTGTTGGCGAGCACAGAGGTGAGACGTTCATTGTAGTTGGTGGAGGAACCCTTGTTGGCGAGCACAGAGGTGAGACGTTCATTGTAGTTGGTGGAGGAACCCTTGTTGGCGAGCACAGAGGTGAGACATTCATTGTAGTTGGTGGAGGAACCCTTGTTGGGGAGCACAGAGGTGAGACGTTTCTTGTAGTTAGTGAAGGAACCCTTGTTGGCGAGCACAGAGGTGAGACGTTCCTTGTAGTTGGTGGAGGAACCCTTGTTGGCGAGCACAGAGGTGAATCGTTCTTTGTAGTTGGTGGAGGAACCCTTGTTGGTGAGCACAGAGGTGAGACGTTTCTTGTAGTTGGTGGAGGAACCCTTGTTGGCGAGCACAGAGGTGAGACTTTCCTTGTAGTTGGTGGAGGAACCCTTGTTGGCGAGCACAGAGGTGAGACGTTTCTTGTAGTTGGTGGAGGAACCCTTGTTGGCGAGCACAGAGGTGAGACGTTTCTTGTAGTTGGTGGAGGAACCCTTGTTGGCGAGCACAGAGGTGAGACGTTCCTTGTAGTTGGTGGAGGAACCCTTGTTGGCGAGCACAGAGGTGAGAATTTCCTTGTAGTTGGTGGAGGAACCCTTGTTGGCGAGCACAGAGGTAAGACGTTTCTTGTAGTTGGTGGAGGAACCCTTGTTGGCGAGCACAGAGGTAAGACGTTTCTTGTAGTTGGAGGAACCCTTGTTGGCGAGCACAGAGGTGAGACGTTCCTTGTAGTTGGTGGAGGAACCCTTGTTGGCGAGCACAGAGGTGAGACGTTCCTTGTAGTTGGTGGAGGAACCCTTGTTGGCGATCAAAGAGGTGAAACGTTTCTTGTAGTTGGTGGAGGAATCCTTGTTGGCGAGCACAGAGGTGAGACGTTTCTTGTAGTTGGTGGAGGAACCCTTGTTGGCGAGCACAGAGGTGAGGCATTCCTTGTAGTTGGTGGAGGAACCCTTGTTGGCGAGCACAGAGGTGAGGTGTTCCTTGTAGTTGGTGGAGGAACCCTTGTTGGTGAGCACAGAGGGAAGACGTTTCTTGTAGTTGGTGGAGGAACCCTTGTTGGTGAGCACAGAGGTGAGACGTTCCTTGAAGTTGGTTCCCAGGTTTGCACACATCTTAGGAGGCATTTTGGTCCACCTTCTTTACAGAACTTCTCTAAATCCTTCAGGTTTCTTGGCGGTCTCTTGGCAACTCGAACTTTCAGCTCCCTCCGTACATTTTCTATAGGATTCAGGTCTGGAGACTGGCTAGGCCACTGCATGACCTTCATGTGCTTCTTCTTGAGCCACTCCTTTGTTGCCTGAGCCATGTGTTTTGGGTCATTGTCATGCTGGAACACCCATCAATGAACCATCTTCAGTGTTCTGGGGAAGAAGGTTCTCATCCTAGATTTTACAATACATGGCCCTGTCCATTGGCCCCTCAATGCGGCAAAGTCGGCCTGTACCTTTAGCAGAGAAACAGCCCTAAAGCATAATGTTTCCACCTCCGAGCTTGACTGTAGTGATGGTGTTCTTAGGGTCATAGTCAACATTTTTCTTCCTCCAAACACGGAAAGTTGAGTTAATGCCAAAAAGCTCAATTTTGTTCTCATCTGACCACAGCACTTTTCTCCCAATCCTTCTCTGCATCATTTAGATGTTCATTGGCAAACTTCAGACGGGCCTGTACATGTGCCTTTTTGAGGAGGGGGATCTTGCGGGCACTGCAGGATGTCAATTCCATGGCGGCGTATTGTGTTACCAATGGTTGGTTTGGTGACTGTGGTCCCAACTGCCTTGAGATCCTTCACAAGCTCCTCCCGTGTACTTCTGGGCTGATCCCTCACTTTTTCTCATGGTCACCCTACCCCATGAGGCGAAACCTCGCATGGAGCTCCAGACCGAGGGCGATTGATGGTTGTTTTGTATTTCTTCCATTTGTGAATAATCGCTCCAACGGTTGCCTCCTTCTCACCAAGCTTCTTGCTGATGGTCTTGTAGCCCATTCCAGCCTTGTGCGGGTCTATAGTCTTGTCCCTGACATCCTTTGACAGCTCTTTGGTCTTGCCCATGGTGGTGGAGAGGTTTGGATGGAAGAAAGAGATTCTGTGGTCAGGTGTCTTTTATACACACAATGAGTTGTCGTTTGGAGCACCTTCTTACATGGACAGGACTGATCTGTGTACCACATGGGCACATCGCCAATCTGTGGGAGCCAGAATCATTGCTGGTTGGTAGGGGATCAAATACTTATTTTACTCACTGAACTACAACTCCATTTATAACATTTGTATCGTGTTTTCTTCTGGATTTTTGGTTGATATTCTGTCTCTATCATTTAAAATTCCCCTATGATAAAAATTGTAGACCCCTCATTTCTGTGTAAGTGGGCAAACGTACACAATCTGCGGGGGATCAAATACTTATTTTCCTCACTGTGTGCCATTGCTCCACCTATAATTCATAGAGACCTTGTCTGACCATGCCCAGTCCTGACTTTTCTTGGACATCTCAATTTTGTTTCTCTTCACAGTCCTACCTGAAGGGAGTCAATTACATGCCGGCAAACAGCGTCATCTACGAGAAGACCTACACGAGGCTGGACAATGCTCCGACGGTAAGTTCGGCCATCTTGGTTCCAATTGGTGCTCATTATAAACTACGGGGCCACTGCTATTGCTCCTTCCACCCATACAGACTGCCCACTGGGACTACATAAAAAGAACGCCACAAGTAGAATGCAATGTAGCATCAATAGGGATCAAACAATGAAGATCCACCAACGTCGGTCCTGATGTGTCCTACAATCTGAGTCATGAGAGATTCTCCATTGTGAGTCTGGAATTCGAGTGACACCGTAATGTTCAAATCCAAATATGAGTTTATTCCAAGGACGCATTATTTACAGAAGTCATTGTGTTTGAGGGGCTGAACTCTACCATTTGAAAAAAAAAAAAACAAAGTAACAATGTATGCCAGCTCAAAAATCGTGAAAACATACCAAAAGCCAGAAAACAATTACATACCGATGCCTGTCAGGACTTCTTCAGTTTAATTCATTTCTCAATTTTGTAGCCTCCCACTCATATGAACCAAGAGCAGAGAGGGTAAGTGATGACGAGTGAGAAGTAAAAGAACACACCCCAGGCGTCCCCTTAGACGAGCATGTTGCTCCCTGCTGGCCACTGCATGGTAAAGACCAGTCTTCCTCAAACTTTCTACCTGAAGAAATCCTTAAAGTAACTTTCTGGTCTCGGGGAACCCCTGCCAACAGTTGCTATATCTACAGCTCACTGCTGGTGGTCAGTGGGAAGAATGTCCCTTACATTGGTGGTCAGTGGGAAGAATGTCCCTTACATTGGTGGTCAGTGGGAAGAATGTCCCTTACATTGGTGGTCAGTGGGAAGAATGTCCCTTACATTGGTGGTCAGTGGGAAGAATGTCCCTTACATTGGTGGTCAGTGAGAAGAATGCTCTTTACATTAGTGGTCAGTGGGAAGAATGTCCCTTACATTGGTGATCAGTGGGAAGAATGTCCCTTACATTGGTGATCAGTGGGAGGAATGTCCCTTACATTGGGGGTCAGTGGGAAGAATGTCCCTTACATTGGGGGTCAGTGGGAAGAATGTCCCTTACATTGGTGATCAGTGGGAGGAATGTCCCTTACATTGGGGTCAGTGCGAAGAATGTCCCTTACATTGGGGGTCAGTGGGAAGAATGTCCCTTACATTGGGGCTCAGTGGGAAGAATGTCCCTTACATTGGGGGTCAGTGGGAAGAATGTCCCTTACATTGGGGTCAGTGCGAAGAATGTCCCTTACATTGGTGGTCAGAGGGAAGAATGTCCCTTACATTGGTGATCAGTGGGAAGAATGTCCCTTACATTGGGGGTCAGTGGGAAGAATGTCCCTTACATTGGGGGTCAGTGGGAAGAATGTCCCTTACATTGGGGGTCAGTGGGAAGAATGTCCCTTACATTGGGGGGTCAGTGGGAAGAATGTCCCTTACATTGGGGGGTCAGTGGGAAGAATGTCCCTTACATTGGTGGTCAGTGTGAAGAATGTCCCTTACATTGGTGATCAGTGCGAAGAATGTCCCTTACATTGGGGGTCAGTGCGAAGAATGCTCCTTACATTGGGGGGTCAGTGCGAAGAATGTCCCTTACATTGGGGGTCAGTGGGAAGAATGTCCCTTACATTGGGGGTCAGTGGGAAGAATGCCCCTTACATTGGGGGTCAGTGGGAAGAATGTCCCTTACATTGGGGGCCAGTGGGAAGAATGTCCCTTACATTGGTGATTAGTGGGAAGAATGTCCCTTACATTGGGGTCAGCAGGAAGAATGTCCCTTACATTGGGGGTCAGTGGGAAGAATGTCCATTACATTGGGGGTCAGTGGGAAGAATGTCCCTTACATTGGTGGTCAGTGGGAAGAATGTCCCTTACATTGGAGGTCAGTGGGAAGAATGTCCCTTACATTGGTGGTCAGTGGGAAGAATGTCCCTTACATTGGGGGTCAGTGGGAAGAATGTCCCTTACATTGGGGGGTCAGTGGGAAGAATGCTCCTTACATTGGGGGTCAGTGGGAAGAATGTCCCTTACATTGGAGGTCAGTGGGGAAGAATAGCTGAAAAGATCAGCGGTGTCAGAGGTCACATATCTGAGAGGTAGAAATTGCTCAAGAAACCTCTAGCGACCTCTAAAGTAGAGGTCTCCAAACTGCAGCCCTTTACTTGCCTTTATCAGGCCATTTGGACACTATTCCTCCCACTGACACCAATGATGGGGCACTATTCCTCCCAGTGACACCAATGATGGGGCACTATTCCTCCCACTGACACCAATGATGGGGCACTATTCCTCCCACTGACACCAATGATGGGACACTATTCCTCCCACTGACACCAATGATGGGGCACTATTCCTCCCACTGACACCAATGATGGGGCACTATTCCTCCCACTGACACCAATGATGGGGCACTATTCCTCCCACTGACACCAATGATGGGGCACTATTCCTTCCACTGACACCAATGACGGGGCACTATCTGATCTTCCTGTCATATTTTGGAGCCGTGTGAAGTGACGCCGATGTTCCCGTCTGGTTCTCAGGGTTATGATGTGGCAGATTGTCGCAGACACGCCCCGCGCCTGTCCGGACGCGCTCAGCCCTGCACAGGACCAACTGGTTGGAGTGGCTTAATTCGTCTATAAAGGAAACAATCGTTCAGCAGAGGTCTCCAAATTGCGGCCCTTTACTTGCCTTTATCTGGCCATTTGGACACTATTCCTCCCACTGACACCAATGATGGGGCACTATTCCTCCCACTGACACCAATGAGGGGGCACTATTCCTCCCACTGATACCAATGATGGGGCACTATTCCTCCCACTGACACCAATGATGGGGCACTATTCCTCCCACTGACACCAATGATGGGGCACTATTCCTCCCACTGACACCAATGATGGGGCACTATTCCTCCCACTGACACCAATGATGGGGTACTATTCCTCCCATTGATACGAGACACTACTTTGCTAACCAACATCTGCAATGGGGAACCATTTCTCCCACTGACACCACCAATACCCTAATCACACTAATACTAAATGCGGGCGGGGGGGGGGGGGGTAAAACAAGTTTGTAGTGTAATGATTGGAGGGATACATAACAATACAGATGAGGACAACACAGAATAATCTTTTTCCAAAAACATTTCCTAATCCGGCGGGATCCCCCCCAATAATAGTCAGCGATGCGTATGACACCAGAAGTACGGGGGGACACGAGGAGCCGTCAGGAGCAGCCTGCTGCATCTCTTCCTTGGATCTTTGGATAGAAACTTGTTTCTGAAAATATTATCATTGACATAAACAAAGCAATGTTCCCAAACCTCCTGCCAACATCATTCCGCCTATCAGTGTCTCCCTGTACCAGCACATGAGTCATATCTATTCATAATTACTTCTCTGTTCTCTCCACCGCACTGCATTGTATCTTCACAGGTCCAAGGACCAAAAAAAAAAAAAAAGATTTATATAGACATAAAAAACAAAAAAAAATCTAGATCTATTTATCCCTTTATAATAAAATAAGAAATAAAAAATAACAAACGGTTTTTAAAAAGTATATAAATATATATTGGAACTATAATGATATAAACTAGCAACTATAATAACGTAAACTTGTAACTATAGTAACGATGACCATAGTAATACACTATGAAAAATATTAAATGAGAAAAATAAAATAATAAATAATAATATTAATAATAATTTAATAACAAAAAATAGATATAAAAGAACAAAAAAAAAATTAAATTAAAATGAAAAAAAAAAAAAAAAATACTAATACTGCATTAAAATGATTCTACACCTTCACTTTTTTTTTTTAAATGATGATAATGCACTAGAATTTATAATAATAAACTACTAAAAATAAAATGTAGTAATAATAATAATATTCATAAATAATAATAATAATAATAAAGACAGATAAAAGAAAACAAGCTTTTGTTGGTTAAAACTGTGTGTTCACCTTTCAAGCCCCCATGAGCACCACCTTATCATTTGTATGTATATATACTGTTTGTATACATCTATGTGTGTGTGTATGTATATGTATGCACACAACATTTTTTTTTTTTATTTATTTATATTATTTTATATATATATATACACATTTGTACTGTAAAAAATAACTTTTTTACTCTTATTATAGATCTTTAAAAAAACGAAATAAATAATATATATATATATATATATATATATATATATATATATATATATATATAATATTTATATATATATATATATATATATATATAGTGTGTACAGTGAAGGAAATGCGTATTTGCTCCCCGGCTGATGCTGAATGTTCGCCCCTCACACAGAAATGATCGGTCTAACAATGGATTGTTCGCCCCTCACACAGAAACGATCGGTCTAACAATGGAATGTTCGCCCCTCACACAGAAACGATCGGTCTAACAATGGAATGTTCGCCCCTCACACAGAAACGATCGGTCTAACAATGGAATGTTCGCCCCTCACACAGAAACGATCGGTCTAACAATGGAGTGTTCGCCCCTCACACAGAAACGATCGGTCTAACAATGGAATGTTCGCCCCTCACACAGAAACGATCGGTCTAACAATGGAATGTTCGCCCCTCACACAGAAACGATCGGTCTAACAATGGAATGTTCGGTGTAACACTGAGAGACAGAATACAACAACAAATTCAGCAGAAATGCGTCTAACAAATGATGACGGATCTGCATGTTCATGAGGGAAAGAAGGATTTGATCCCCTATCATTCAGCAGGATTTCTGGCTCCCAGGTGTCTCTCATACAGGTAACAAGCTGAGATTAGAAGCAGTCTCTTAAAGGGAGTGCTGCTAATCTCATTGTGTTACCTGTATAAAAGACACCCATCCACAGGAGCCATCAAACCATCA